CCCCCCCTTCCACCTCCCGCCCGACCCGGCGGCCTCCTGAGCTCTGGGGCGGCCCCAGGCCAGCCGGGGCGCGTAGCTACTAACCGGGCCCAGCCTGCGGCCCTGGGGCCTTCCTCGGGCCCAATCGCCCGCGGGGCCGGCGCTCTGGCCCGTAGCGGCCTGGCCGTTACTGGTGAGGGCTGACAGGAGGCAGCCCAGCCGGGCTGGCGGGCAGTGCCGGCGGGGAGGTGATCGCCTTTCATTCGGGTTCCCAGGGAGGAGGAAGGGCTGGCGTGGGGCGCAGGTGGGGGCCTCCCTTTGCCTCTGTTACCCTAGTCTCTCCTCTTTGCGGAATGATCAGAGAGGCCTCCGGGTCGCACCTTCCTGGAAGTGGGCAGGGGTGGGCAGCTGAGCTGGGCGCCCAGGATCCGGGACCCTGGTTCTGGCAGCCATTCATGCGGGGAAAAAAAAAAAAATTCATCTGGGTTGGCTCATCCGGACCTAGACTGCGCTCAGAGTAGCCCCTCTTCCCTCTTTCCTGGGGAGGCTTCCTACCTGCTTGTTCATGCAACCTGCTGCGTCCACCACGAGCAGCGGCTCCTTTCCTTCTTTCCTACCCGGAAGATGCTGTGGGTGACAGTTTTTCGCCTGACTCCTAGGTTTCTTTGGTAGAACAGTTAGAGGCAGGGCTGGCCTGTGAAGGCATCCCCTTTTTTTCTCCTCTTTCCCTCAGGAGAAAACTTAGAAACTTTTCAGTGTTTGAGGCAGAGGAGCTGGAAACCTGAAAGTGGGTTGCATGTAATTCTAAAAGTTCCTCCCTCTCGCTCTCATTACCTTCTGCTGCCACAAAGTGGTGAGTTAGAGATTTGCCTGGGCTGGGTGGTCTTTCCCTTCCATGGATTACCCAAAATGTTAGAGACTTGGAGCAAGGGAATGGGGTTGCCTCTGGAAAGGTTGTCTTTTCCAGGTTGTCCTGGGAAGAGGAGAAATGCTCTGTGCTTAGCATGCTACTTCCCACATTGCCGAGGCAAACTCCCGATTGCCCACTTTTTCCTGCGGGCCTTGGCACTGTCAGATTCAGAGGATTTAGGAGTTTTGGGTGCTCTGGGAGATAACTAGAGCGGGGATGTTCTGCTGTGGAGCCCTCCAGGCTGGGTGGGTCTATGGACCTATCATCGTTACCCCATCATATATTGGCTCAGGTCTCTGCAAGGCCATCCTAACTGTTGGGTGGAGGAAGAATAGGCACATGGTCAGGATAGAGGGCCTAGGGGATAGTTGAGAGGGATGTGGGTCAGCCCCTCACAAAATCAGTTTTTTGAGATGGTCCTCGGTTCCTGTAGTTGTTTTAAATATTGGCTGCCTGAGGCCGTTTGCTCTTGGACCCTCAGGTCTGGGAGGCCTGGTTCTCGGTCTCAGCAGGCTGTTACCCTGAGCAGGGATGTCCTGGGTTGAGATTCAGGGCAGCCAGGGGAAAGGAGCTCGAAGGCCTCGGGGCGTCCTCCACCAGTGCCTCTCTGCTTTTATCTAATAACATATTGGGCTTCCAAGTAAGAATTTTGTTTACAAAAAAAGTTACGCTGCTGAAATCGGTTTGGACGCCATGGGCCTCCCTCTTCCTTTGGAGCATGAGCAGAATTTATGACTTCTTTGTATTATGCGCAGATCATCCCAGACCCTTATCTGTGAGACAGCTGGCTACAGAGGGCTGGCGGTAGGCTGGGGAGCCCGGAGGCTCTCTTTGCTGGAGGGGCTGAGCCGCCAGCAGACTTCTTTGGTCATGTGTGAAGAGAGCGGGTCTTCCAGCCCTGAACCCCTCTCTCTTCCCTGATGTGGCAGCAGTGTGGCGAGTGTGGGCTGAACGGGGAGAGGGGCCCAGGGACCAGCCGCGGATCTCGGCGTCAAGCTGACCCTTTTTCTCTTCCCTCCAGAACCAGTCATCAGGGAAGGCAGAGCCCCTCTGGCCTCGCCCCCCGGCACCCTGCCCTCGAGAGCCCCGCGTCCCATAGGCAGAGCCTGGCAGTCCGTCTTGGTTAATGCCGCCGGCCGTCTGACCAGTCCCCCTTGTGTGCCTCCTCTGAGGTTTTTGCCCATCCCTGATCCTGGGCAGCTTCTCTCTGGGCTGGATCACCTTCGGCGGGAAACTGAAGCCCTTACTCTCCAAGCCCTGTTTCGTCTTCCCAAGCATGTCAGAAAGCTGGCAGCAGCCCCCGCAGACGCAGCCCCAGCACCACGCGGAGCCACCACCCGCCCTGGCCGAGCACGCGCTGCCCCCGGGCTCGGCCGAGAACCCCCTGGGCTGTGCCGTCTACGGCATCCTCCTGCAGCCGGACCCGGGCCTCCAGCCCCCGCAGCACGCGCCCCTGCCGGCGGCCGGCGAGCCGGGCCCCAAGTGCGGCGTGTGTGGTCACGACCTGGCGCACCTGTCCAGCCCGCACGAGCACCAGTGCCTGGCGGGCCACGACCGCTCCTTCCAGTGCACGCAGTGTCTCAAGATCTTCCATCAGGCCACAGACCTGCTGGAACACCAGTGTGTGCAGGCCGAACAGAAGCCTTTCGTCTGCGGCGTCTGCAAGATGGGCTTCTCGCTGCTCACCTCGCTGGCGCAGCACCACAGCGCGCACAGCGGCGCCAGCGGCCTGGTGAAATGCTCCATTTGCGAGAAGACCTACAAGCCGGCCGAGGCGGC